TTATTTTACAGTTAAAATATATGTTTATCAAATAAAGTCTGATGTTACAACTAATCATGGATCCCTTTAAGGAAAAGGAAGACGTATGATTGAACAAAGAGACCAGGGAAAACTGTGGGAATGTATAGAATGGTTTGTTTAGTCTACTCAAGGCTCCAGCTGTTAGAAAACAAACAAATAAATAAACATATGACTTTTCTGCTCTTCAGGAAACTTTGGGACTCCAAGTTAGCCGACCCTTCATCAAGGTAAATTCTGCTTTTTTGCTTCATTGTTTTATTTAACCCAAAGAGGTTCACACACTGTCCTGTCTCTTGACTTGTCCTTTCCTTTCTGCTTCAGACTGAGGACGCAGATCAGTAAGAAGGCTTACTGGGTGGAGAAGGTGCAGTGCCAGGGTCAGGAGGTGTCCTTAGCACAGTGCGTAGCCCACCTCCCCAGGAGTGATGYTCCATGCAGGGGGGGCATGCACGCTGTGGTCCGCTGCACCCCTGGCTTCCAGCTGCCACAACACGGCAGAGCTCCAGCTCCTCCAGCTGTAACGGTTAGTTTGACTGCAAAGAGTTTATGATATAAGAAATGTTAAACTTCAAAATACAATTTGACTGTTTTGTTCTTGAAACAACAGCAGAATGTGAGTAGATCTAAATATTAGACCTTTCAGATGTGAATGAAAATTGTTTTACTTTTTTAACATAAAACTGTTGAGCATGCTCTCTTGATGCCAGCTGTTTGGTCTTCACTGAGAAATAGTGATTTTCTGTTCTCATTATATGGTTTAAAATAGGGTAAACATTTTTTCATGTTTTCATCTTATTTTCTCCACACACTTAATTTAATCACACATTTAGACAAATCCAATCTAATCATGAAATCTGTTTTAAGTAAAAAGCTAAATCAATAAACTTTACATCTGAAGGATGTTTAAATAATAGTTTCATTTGTTAGAAGTTCAATAAAATAACTCAGAATATTTTTGATATAGGATTCAACTTGTTTGTTCTCCCAAACTAGTGAAGGAGCTGATCTGGCAACCAAACGTTTGGCAAGACAAAAAAAAATTTAAAAATAAAAAAATAAAATGTTTGGAACATCTTTGAAAAAATACTACATAAATATCATATAAAATGTTTTTTTTTTGTTTGACTGATTAAAAATATATTAGAAAAGTGCTTAAATATATATATTTTTTTAGCATGGATGCTATCCAATGCTTTGATGTACTATTACAAAATACTTCATTGTTTTTATTCACACAAACAGCTGAATATGAAAAAAATAAACRCTGTTGTAAATTAACTAAATTGGTGAAGAAATCACAGCATGTAGCTAATATGAAATTAGCATTTTATTGATTAGGAACTGTTTTGTTCCAGCCTGTAGTTCGTCTGAAGGCCGGGCCTCGTCTTGGAGAGGGTCGAGTCGAAGTGCTGAAGGAGGGCAAGTGGGGCACAGTGTGTGACCACCTGTGGGACTTGGCTGCAGCGAGCGTGGTCTGCAGAGAACTGGGCTTTGGGACGGCTAAAGAGGCTCTGACCAGGGCTCAACTTGGGCAGGGTAAAAAAATACTGCACTTTGAAAATCTTTCTAGAATATATATATATATATA